AAAGCTCTGTTAATTATTAATGTATTCTCATTTGCATGAAACTTTTCATAAAAAATTTCTTATCAATCAGAATAATGAAATTAAAATGCCTAGATCATCAAAAAATTTAAATGATGTGAATAGCCAATGCAATTGAAATTAAAGAATCAATTGGAAAATGAATTTCTCTTTAAAAAAATCTTTGATAACAAATAAAATAAACAATTGATCTTAACAGTAGTAAACAACTAGTTTAAGAAATAAAGGACTTACTTGTGAACAAAATGATTTCAACGCTGGAATAGGAAGAAGTGTGCCAGCCATGAACGCAATAATATTATTTATTGAGGTAATAACCACACTCATACCAGTTTCTTTCATTAATATACCTGAAAATTAAATTATGCTCGAATTTAATTTTAAGAGACAGTTGTGCAAATTTTCTTTTAAAATTTTTTTTAAGAAGAAAAGTTAAAGTGATGCATTTTGTAAATCAGCAGAATGAATTTAAAAAATCATTCTACAAAATGAACATAGAAAAAGTGATATACCAATTTCGTTATTTTTAACAGTATGATGCACATCTTTGTAGTTATGAAGCAACAAGAACATATCATCAACACCCAATCCTAGCGTTAAAAAGGGTACAATCTAAATTCATTTTAAATTATTCAAAATTAATACAAATAAAGAAAAACAAAAGCAGTTTGATTAATTTAATGTTAATTAATTTAAACAAAAGCATTTAATTTTGAAAATGCATCCCACCACTTAAATTAGGCGATTAATGAAGTTGACATGTGTTCTGCTACATGCGAAATATTTTATCAAGAAGACTTCTCCTTCTCAACAATAATTAATAACTCTGGGGTAAAATATAAAAATTACAAATTTAAATTTCTAATATACTCTTGAAAATACATATTATTCGCTTCGAAAGATTAAAATGTTGATCAGTGGGTCGAAAGGCAATAAGTGAACTTTGTATTTTAAAGGTGTTCATTAATTTTTTAATAAATAACGAAATGAGGAAAAAAACATAAATGAGAATAATGAAAACACCTGTGTTGTAGCTGCATTAAAATGAACACCCAAATATGAAGATATCCCAAGGCCGGAAATACTCGCATAAGTAACCAGAAAGACGCCTACGATACTGAGACCAACTGATGAATTTACTGCAAACCACCAACCATCCCAATTTAATTGCGACCATCCAGCATAAATAAACTGCAATTCACATTCAATTTAAAGTAGAAATGCTACATGATCATGTAATTTCTAAGATGTAATTGGTTCTCAATGACGATTACTTTGTTGGCAGCCTTAACTTTTGTTTTGAGTGGTAAAAAAGATTATTTGCACTGGATTGCAGAAATGCAGCATGTAAAACTCCTTTAAACTCACATCAAAGATCAATTAACAGAAATTTGAAGAGAAATAATATTTTTCCCATTGTTTATGATATGTCAGTAAAAAAAATTAAGGCTTAAAAATAGAATAGCGAAGCATGTTAAAATGACTACTTCTTTCTTTACTCTATAATTAAAACTCCCAACAGCAATGACCTTTTAATTTTATTTTATTCTTCAAAGATTTAGTTTTAAGTTATAGCACAAATATTTGCATTTCAATGTAGCGGATATTTAGGCCTTTTCATCGTATAAATCCACAATTTCTTTCTCTCTCAGGCTTTCTTAAAAAATGGAATTTTCAAAATTTATAGAGAAAAAAAAGAAAACAAACCATTAAAAAATATCCTATAAAGATGACGAAGAACTTGAATTGACTAAATTCCTTCAACATATCCTCTAAAGATGTTGATGAAAGTGGATGTATCTGACGATTCATCTAAAAATTTCTCTTTAGTGATCAATTATGTGATGTGTAAATTAAATTGTATAAATGATTTGATAAAATCTCCGAAAGATATTTCAGAATGATAAAAAATGAAAAGAAAAAACTTCAAAAATATTGTATAACGAGTAAATATAATATAATAATTTTTGAAACTGTTACAGTATGTTATTTTAATTGCAAAATGACTATATATTTTAAATTTTATTGAAGCCTAGTTTATAGAATAATACGTTTATTCAGCTTATAGATAAATTATCTATAAGCCAGAGAATGATCAAACAAGAAGGCTATTTGAGATGACGTAAAAATTAAGCTGTATATTCTGTATGTATGTAGTAATACAAAATAGTACATGTTTTCCTGCATCTCGCACAATCTTATTAAATTTGTTAACATTCAAACATGCTAATTCTATATGATTAATATGAAAGGAAAAAGCTACTAATATAATCTCATATGTCATTATTATTGTCACCATTATTACTATAAGACGAACATATAACCTTTGTATTCCAACGATGCTCATAGATGTGTTGCGTGAAATTTCGCTGCCAAGCGGAAACAACTTGCGATGCATAATATGGATTCCAAGCGTTAACATTCAAATTTGGCTTCAAATACGGCTTTTGTACCTAAAGTAGAATGTTAATATTGCAATGTGTACAAGTAGAGGAACCTATCTCAAATATCGTTACAAAAACTTCATCAAATTAACATTTTCTCGAATGCTTCATTGTTTTTATCAAATTAAATCATAATCATTTTATTTGACTTATAGTCCGATTAATGCATATGCCTAAATTAAACTATTTGGAAATTGGGAGTATGAAAGAATTGATCTAATATTTTATGCTTTTTGCATAAATATATTATTGATATCTGAAATAAAATATCCTGATAGAATGAAAAAGTAAATTAAATCAAACCTTATAACGTGAAAAGACATCATTACCAGATGCAACCAGAAAAATACTTTGAAAAGCTTCAGCACTTATTAATTTATGATTTTTCCTTTTGACACCACCAATTATTAGATTTTCTGGCCATACCATTGTATTTCGAGCAAATCCTCGACATCCACCCGTCATTATTTTTCCATAATCAGGATATTCTGGCATTTCTTCCTAAAATAATTTTCAAATAACGAGAAAAACAAGCGAGAAATAGTAATGCATCAATTGTAACTAATAAAATAAACACTTAACAATTTAGCATAAAAATATGATGAATAGTTGTAATAATTGACTAAAATAAATGTAATCAAAATATTTTTGAAGTCTTCAAAATAGCAAAATGGTAAGACAGAGTTGAAAATTACAAAGAAAAATGATAAATTGACGGACATATATTTTATAATTGAAAGATTATGAGAAAGAAAATGACAGGTGAAATTAGTTACCAACCAATGTCAGAAATTCATTCCATCGATGTTCATTCTTATTCAACCATTTCAAGAAACTTTTACCATAACGCAAACATTGTTCTTTTTCAGCAATTTTTTCTTTATCTGTAAAATAATTGAAAAAATTTAGCATATTAAATTACGCTAATCTATCATAAAACAACTTCAATTTTTAAAAGCAAAAATGCTTAATATTCATCTATTGATCTATCGAAATATCTTATAACATCCTTCTAATATATTTTCAAAATTTTCGGACCATTTCATTTTTTTCATCACTAAACAGTATTGACTATCATTTGATAATAAATAAGATCGTTTTAATAATGCAAATCTTGCATTATATTATAGTACATAATGGCATAGATATTTTTTAAATGAAAATCTTTTATACTTATATAATTGGTAGAGAAATTTAGTAAAGAATTTATTAAGAATTGGTAGGATATCAATTATTTAAACTCTTTATATTCCATTATTTGAGCTTTTTTTTATCAAATCATGAATAAATAGGCTGAAATAATCTTACTTATTGTAAAATTATAATTCATATTGTAATCTTCATCGTCTTCATATGCATAATAATCAGAACTTTCATTTTCTGTTCGGCTTTTAATATTTGATTTCATCGTCGAAGTTGTCATATCTCTCTTACGTCTTTTTTTACCTGAAATTATGTGAAGCAAAAGTGATTAATGAGTTTGTTGGAAATTAGTTGATTAAGGAATTAATATATTTAAGGAATTAAATTTTATATTTATTCCTATTTGCAAAATAATATTTTTTTAAATGATTTTTCTTCTCACTTCCTATTCGTTCTTCTATACTTTATCATTTGTGTACATATTGCTGTCACAAAAAATTAAATTTAAAAATATATACTTAATAAGATAAATTTTCTCTAAAAATCTAACCAAAAAAATCTTCAATAATTTTTAAGGTAATATCTTGTGGTTCTGATTTATAAATTGGTATTGCTTCTGCTTCCAGTATTATCCGCTTATCTTCCGGCATTGCCATATTCCAAACTTGAAATTTTTTTAAAGCAAAACAATGATCAAAAGCATTTGGTGCTGAAGATGGACATTCCGGATCTAATGGATCAATACACCAACGATCCAAATAAGCAGCTCCTATACCAGCCTGCAAAATAATAAGTTATGCCATTTATAAATAATGAAACAATGTTATCTTTTAATCAAGATAGATCAAATTATGGTAGAAAGTTATTTAAAATTTGATGAAAATTATTTAACTCAAACATTTCCTCTTACTGCACTATTCACTAATATTATCAAAAATATTTTTTTTACTCTTTCAAACAAATTGAAGATTGTTCCAAGATCGAAAAGTGTCGAAATTTCTTTCAGTACTGCTGAAGGATCCAAATTTCTCCACGTTATATTACCTTTTGGTAAGGAAGTAATGAAAGAATGTATATCGGGCCTATAAATGTTATACAAAATCGATAACTAAAATTTAAAATAAAATTTGAGATATTTCCTTAGCTATTTAATTAGTATCGTAAATTTAATTTATTAGAGATCAAAAACGCTGTAATTAATATTATAACTTAGTCTCTACATGTAATTAATATTATAACTTAGTCTCTACACAGCATTTAATTTATATCAATTAGTTGAATGAGTAAAATAAAAAAAAACATCCGTTTTTACTTCAGTGTACTAATTTCACAACATTTTGGGTAGCATAAGTTTTCAAAAAATTGCAAAAACTTTTATATTGCTTTTTCTTTGTTTTGGAAAATAAATAAACCCTAAAATGAGCGGTGGTGATGGTCCCAGTGGTTTTGATCCTTCCCAGAAACAATCAATGGGTGTAATCCAAATACACGGGATTAAACGATCCAACAATTTGGTTATTACACCAGCAAATGATCCATGAGATAATTTTGGTGATGGTGGCTTGAAGCATATATCGGCCAATGTCCAATTTCTGAAATAACAAGCAAACTTTTTCAAAAATAAATGGAGCAAATTTAATTAAAGGAATAAAGAAGTGAAAAATTCCCCATAAAAATTTTCAACCACCGTTTTGGATAATAAAAAATTAAACAAAAAAAATTTTCTCAAAGAATTTTGAAGGAATATTTAATGGAGCAATCGAAATTGAAAAATTAAATTTAGCTTTTTAAATCAATTATTTATTGAATGAATTCACATACTCGCCATACATTTCCACCCGAAAATCGGCAATTTCTTCCATAATTTGAACATGTTTAAGTAATGATTCTTTGGTTAAAGCATTAATGCTTTTCGACGCAGGTGTTTGTATTACCACCTGAAAAATCGATTTTTGAAAGAGTAAGTGATATAATTACAGATGACAGAAATTTTTTAATCTAAACTGGATTTCATATCAATAATAGCTTTTAGGGACTAAATCAAATTTAAATTATTGATTTATTTGAAAATAATACCAGAAAACGACTATCAAATGCGTCATCCAAACTTATGTTTGTGTTTCCTTCATCTTTTCTACTATTTGCTGGTTTTATGGAAACGATTGGCTCATCATTATCTATAATTACCACTGTTAAATTAAATTATGCTAATCATTTTAAAAAAATATTAAAAAATTTCGTGCTGAATATTTTGAATGGTTTGGAAAAAAGATGGACCAGATAAAAATTATGAATTTATACACCATTTCTATTTTTAGCAGCAGAAGAAACAAGATAAATGATTAGAAAAAGTAATTTAAATTCGATTTAATTAAAATAATGTTTAAAATCAAAGAAATATAAAACAAACCTGAATTTCGAAAATCAACTGAACGCCTCTCACGAACTGCATCATAATGATAATTTCGCCGTACACGTTGAAGAAAATGCAACTCTTCGTCTAAACGTCCATCCTCTAAAATTTTACATTATTTTCTATGAATGGAAATATAAGTTAACTAATTTTCCAATCAATCAATTTCATTTTTACTATAAATTAGAAATAATCTTTTCAGAGGCGAAACAAAAAAAAAGGGAGAAAAATTATTTTGCTTTTATAATTCACGTTTAAAAATTTTCTGCATAAACAATTCATAAACAAAGTAAGCTTGGAAAATTATAAATCAATAAAATTAATCACTTAAAAAAAGATTTAAAATATACAAATTTAAAAAAAAAAAGAAAATAATAATTAAAAAATGTTTGTCTGTGTAAAACTTACGTGATACCCATAATTTAACCAAATCAGTTTCAATATGAACATATTGAAGTCCTAAGGCGCAGATCAAATAAACACTTAAACCAACAATGACAACTGTCCAAGCCCAATTTTGCACGAATGAACCCAACGTGAAAAGTAATGTTTGAAAGAAAGAACGTACATAAAGTGGTAAGCGATTACCCGTTGCTATACCCTGCAAAAAAAATGAAAAATTAGATTGATTTTACATAATTTAACTTTTCATTTCAATAGTTTTTATTGATCGAAACTAACCCTTTTAATAGCCAATTATAATATTCCACCTAATTAACAATAAATTTTAGATTTCTCTGACAATTCATAATTTTAATCTATCCTTCCTTCAAAAAATTTTTCAAATTTTTATAAACTTTAATTTAAAATATGCCTGATAATTCGTATTCAAAAATATGTAATTATCATAATTTTAGAAAAATTATTAATATGAAAGAAGAAATAAATTAAGAGAGAAAGAGAGAAGGAAGGAAATAAGACAGAGAGATAGAGAGAGGGAGAAAAAGGTGAAAGTTTGCAATATTTGATACTTCGATCACAAATAATAATTGACTTATAAATTCTTGTAATTCAAATTACGTCATATCTTTTAATGCTTTCTTTCTTCATCCTTTTGAGCATCAATAAATTAGATTTATATCGAAATTATCACTAAAGTATTTAACTACTAATCTACTATCAATCATCAAATTTGTCAATTAATTTTATTAATTTCCTCATCCAATCACAAGTCTGTTATAAATTCATCTAAGATCTAATCTATTTTTTTTTCTACTTCAAAAAATAAAACCTGATTCATTTGTTGTAAAGCCATATCTGCATCACACCATGTTGGTCGTGATGCAAATTCTTGTTGCCATTTTTCTGAATATAATGCTGAATCGGATGACTTCTTGCCAACCAACCATTTATCCAATATCTGAAAAAAAAGCAAAGGAACAAAAACATTACTTTATAGTATTTTCAAAATATTACGTTACACTAAATAATAGCATTAAAATAATAAATAAATATGCCTTTAAGAATTTATTGATTTAAATAAAAATTGAAATAATATTATGGAAAATTTTCTTTTTAATTCATCATTATTTGTATCCATGAATTTATAATTTATTTTTCATCAATTTACATGAATTATTTAATTAGTATAAGCTATTAATGATTAATCAATAATGAAAAACTTTAAAGAAATACTAAACAATCATTAACATTTCTCGTGATATCAAAAATAATAGATATTTTGAAAGTTATTTAATGAAAGTTAGCATAGATCATAAAAAAATCATTTCAAAATTTTGTTGATGATAAAAAAATTGATAATGATAAGATTATATTAGCGAATAGTAAGATAATTGGCAATATTAATGATTATGATGGAGAGAAATGTTACAAACACTTGCAACTCAAAAATCTTTATTTCAGTCAATGCAATTAACATGAATTTAGTTGCATATGTTAATTAATAATTAACTATGCTTTCTTTATTTATGGCATTTTTCCAACCTTATTAACAATATTAAACTAGAAAATTTTTAATGGTTGAAAAACATATGCTAAAATGATTTCCTATGGATAATACCGCCTCTGAAATCATTTCCAATGGATAATACCGCCTTTCAAGCGTAAATTAGATAATCTTATTGCAATTGAAAGTAATTGTAAATATTCGAAAAAAAGAAGTGTGTTATTGGATGAATAACAGAATAGAAACTATTGCAACAAAACTGTCACATTCCAAAATTTGGTGCAATCACAAATCGAATAAGCGCAATTATAGAGTAATTAATAAATAATAATAATCAATAGTAATGATAATTAAAAAATAATATTAATAATTAATAGCAGTAATAATTAATAATAATAATAAAAATAATAGCTATAACAAAGATAACAATTTCAACGATCAATAAAGGTTATCTAAATGAATGTTGACATTGTAGACGACAATAATAGGACGTCAATTTTCGATTTCTTCAATCTACCTATATGGATAGCACTAACTTAATCATAAAAGAGCGAAGAAGAGAGGGAGAGAGAGAGAGAGAAAGGATTGAAATTATAGTAAAAAAAGAAGGAATCATAGCGAGATAATGAAGAGGATAGGTATAAGGAAAATTTCCATGTCTATCAATGAGCTAAATTCCTATGTGATGCATAAATAATATGAAATAACTTATTTATACACATAAATTAATAATACTATTATTATTTGTAATCCTTCAATTTCAATTTAAATATTTTAAATTAAATAAGAAAGATGCAAGCCATTCATTTCATTGAAATTTTTTAAATAAGCCAAGAAGTTGCGTATTGAATAGCAAAAATTATACAGACCGCAAAAAAAAATTGTTAAAAAAAGATTTAATGAAAGAAAATTTCCAACGATAATAACTGGACAACAGCAATTGGTACTTCTTATTATTTTAGGCAAAATTTTTATCCTGTTTATGATTATATACATAACTTATGTCTGTCAGCTTATTTTTCTTAAATAGATATTCCCTTCAATTAAAAAATATTCATTAATTAAATAAGATATATGAAAGCTTCATTTATTTTTACTTCATTATCATCTCCATTATTTAATTATTTCAATCTAATTACTTTGTATTATAAATTTAATTACATTGATAAGTAAGATAATGTCAATTCAATTATCATCTTTTATTGATCTCATTTACAACCTATTTAATTATTATTTCTTTTTTTAAAAAGTTACATTCCATAATGTGAACATTACTTTTTTCCATCAATACATTTTATTTGATTATCAAAAAATTGTTCACAATCTCCCTATGATTATTTATTTTGTAAACTATCATCAATTTTACATCTTTTCTTTAATTTTTTTCAATTGATCCATTTTTTATTTTATTTTTTACTTTTTTTTAAAATACCTTTTTAAAACGTAAAATTTTATCCATCTTCTTTTTGTGTGTGTGTGTGTGTGTGTGTTTGATGTGTATTTTTCAAGTTTAACAGTGTCAGTTAATGTGTATATTAGTGTTGTGAAAATATTCGATGTCATTGAAATATGTTGGTGATTTTCTAGAAAACTAGAATTTAATATAGAGGAAAAAGCAATCTAAAGAACTGAATGAAGTTTTACTTTTCTTTCTATCTTTTACTTCTTTTTTTTCTTCAGCGAAAATTTACCCCTATCTTTTCGTTCATATCAAACATATTATAAAAGATATATTGGTTGGTACGAAAGTAATTTCCACATAAATGGAATTTATTGAGAAATTAAAATGAGTTAAAAAAAAAAGGAATGGACGAAAAGAATGAATAAATAAATAAAATGGATCATTTGTAGATCGTAAAAAAATGAAAAATATTATTACAATGATATAAATTTGATAAACAATAAGAGAGGATAATTTGTAAAAGAAAGTTAAGAAAAAAATTTTTCATCAAAAATTTAATGATTTAATTAATTGATAATTTTATTCAATGAAATTATTGTAATAGGGAAATTCTTTTTAACAATTAACTTTTCTCATAAATGTATGATACTATCAGTGATTTTTAATGTTTATCAATAAATGATCGGATTTTAAAAATTGTTGATAATAAGATTAATAAGTTATCGTTCTTTACAAAAAAGAAAAATAATTATTTAAAATCAAAGTACACTTGACCTACTATATTCAATTCAAATAGGACACATACTTCAAACGTAATACTATGATTCATTGAAAATAATATTACTTGTTTATTTCCTTGTTTTTGTTATTTCCTCGTCTATAAAGATTTCTTGTTTATTTCCTCGTTTAGGAAGAACGAGAAAAAAAAGCTATCGAGGAATGAAATCTCCGTGTAATAAACTATTGAGATATGAAATCTGTTTCGGTCTGAGATATGAAATCTATCTCGGTTTATTAAGTTATTGAGATATGAAATCTAAGACATATATGCATAATTATTATCACTTAATCATTCCCTTTTTCTTCTCCTTTAACATTTGAAATCAGTAATAGTAAATTAATTTTTATTTTTTTATTTTTCTTTTTTAATTAGAAATTTTGAAAAATTAGATTTAAATTTAAATTCAGAAGTTAGATTTAAATTTATTACGAAAGTGATTGAAATATCAAATATTGGTGTGAAAAAAATTTTATTAAGCATAAGGAGAAATTTCAAATAGGAATAACATGAATGATTGATAAATTGTTAATTTGAAAATGATTTATAAATGAATTTGTTGTAATAATTTTATTAATGGAAATTTGCTCATAATAAATCATTAATATGTTTATCAGAAATAACTATCAAAAGACGTTGAATGATAAATTATGAAAACAAGATTATCCATTTTAATTATTATGCTATGCCTATCCGATATATGAGAAAATGATTTATTTTGATATTCTGATAATTTTATTAAATATCAAACTTATTTTGATATGCTGATAACTTTATTAATTATCAAATTTATTTTGATATTCTGATAACTTTTCTTTCACTTCATTCTTTCCTTCTTTTCCTTCTTCATTAATCATTTCTTGTAAAGTAAAAAAGAAAGAGAAAAGAAAATATCAAAACTAACCTTATAAATAGGAATTGTAAATTTTTGTGCTGCCGCATACCTTTCGGCGTAAATTTTCATTTCTATTCGCTACTGTTTGTATCAGATTTTTTTTTTACACTTTCTTCTTTTATTATGCAAATTTCTTTAGTACAATTTGAGCAGTGAGTAGTTTTAATCGAATAAATATTCACCACAACAATCAAATTCAAATATTCTTTCCACCTTTCTTCGTCAAATTTCAATCAGTATATTTTCTGCACGATACTATTTTTTTTTTTCGATAAAAGAAATTAATTCCAAATAGCGGGCAGAAAATGAATAATTACTGATACGACGATTCTTTTATCCTGTAATTTCAGTTATAATTAAATTCATTCGTTATAATTATTCATCATAATTTGATGATAAGAAACGCATCGTAATTGGATAATTTCTTTCCACAATAATATAACGATGAAATAATAATCATTAACATTAATGATCATAATTATAATTGATATAATTACTGAAATGGAATAAAATTACTTCAAACTGAAACAAATAGAATTTTCTGAAAAAGAAAAAGAAATCGATTTAATATACGAATAATATAAACAAATCAAATTTCTATATCTTAAAAAAAAAGACACTTAAATTTATTTTTAACATTAAAATTTTATTGCAAACTAAAAATTAACCAATGGAATGAAAATGAAATCAAAAATTCGATTCGATTTTGATATATTTACGCCGAAAGATTGATTTACAATAAAATACATTCCAATGCAATTCTCTTCATTCTGTCACTTTTAACACTCACTGAATTATTCAATGCTCTAAACTTTTGTTCAAACTCTTTTGAAAAATTATATTAATTTCATTGTTGTAATTATCAGTGGTAAAATTAAAATTCGTCAATTTAATTTTTCATTAATTAAATTAACGAAAACAAAAAAAGGAACGAAACAAATAACATAGAAACGAAAATTGTTGTTTAAATTCATAAATAACATTTACGGATAAAATTGATATTTAAGTAAAATATCTAATATAATATATTACCAATCAGTTAATCAACAAAAACACAATAAAATGTCAAAACAAAAGGTAAACAAAAATTAATTTTAATATAATATAATTAAGAAAGTTCAAAAATTAAAATTTTCAATCAAATTTTTGTTTTAATTATTTTTTCATTAATCTTAATATAATTCAATTATTTATTGTCAAAGAAATCAACCAAAAAAGTAATTGTAGTGAAATTATCACGCATTCTATTACAATTATGATTCAAATTAAAATTAAAATATTGATAATGTGAATGTATATATGATTGATCATTATTGATTGCCGTAACTGTTACATGCTATTAAATTTCCAAGATAGAATAATAAACAAATTTTGAGGTGAGAATAAAATAATTATAATAAATATAACAATACTAGTTAAGAACATCCTTTTCGATTAATACTTCCTATCAATAATTTTCGAAATTAAGGAAACTATATTATCGTTGATTTATATGTTTGCTAAACACTGGCCAAAAAAAAAAACGATGATAACAATAACAGTATTGATAATAATTATAATGATAATAGGATAAAATAATACTGATAATAATAATTAGTCCAGAAATCGTTAAAATTTAAAACTTCACTTAAGTAAAGTATAAATTAAAAAAAGTACATGTAAACATGCAAAACTAAATTTACAATTGTTTTCGACGATACAAAAATTAAACGTATCGCTTCAATGTTAATGAGTTGTTTTGGAAAAAAATTTTTGTTGAAATCGATTGTATAGCGAATTAAAAAGAAGTAAAGTACAAAGAACAATTTTGTTGAAGGATATTTATTGCTATTAAAGTGATTAAGTGAAAAATGTTGGTAGGAAGTTAGGTGTAGAATTATTTCACAATAATCGTGTTGAATATGTTTAATGAAAATGAAAAAATAAACCGGTTTCAAATTGCAATTGAAATCTGTTGCATAAAATTGTTAAAAAAAAAAGAATTAACAATGATATATAAAAGTAAGAAAGATATGATAATATGATTGAAATGATTGCATTCATATTTTAAGATA